CATAATACATAAAGTTTAAGCCAGTCGATCCACCTGTCATCTTTCCTTGAGAATAAACTATTTTCTTCGTCTGCAGCGCTTGACTTGAGTATTGATCATCCGTAGAAGGAAATTCCCACCGTGGCAGTTTGGGTGCTACTAGCGTTGAAATTCCTGGACTCTATAACATGTAATTATGGTCTAAAATTATAGATCTAAAAGTTTGATTTATATAAATTAAACACACTTTAAGTAAAACGTATAGTGGCAAACGTATAGGTGATAAAGCACCAATATAGTGTAGCATTCAAAACCTGGAACTACATAGGATACCTACATCAGATGCAAGAGGCGGATCTTCACCAGCTTCAATAACGAGAACCGACCAATTCGAGATCTCACTCAGCCGGTTGGCAATTACACAGCCAGCACCTCCACCACCTATTATTATAAAGTCGAAGCTATCTCCATCTGCAAAAAAGATATTTTTTACATACGACAACCTCGTAGGTGCGTAGGATGTCGAGGGAGAATACGAAATTTCGGGATAAATAGAAACATGCTTTCTTCATTATCTCTAGTAGGATCGGCTTTCTCTGTTTGAAACTTGTTAGCCATAAGCTTACCTATTACTACTTAAAACTACTATATATATTAAATTCGAATTTCCTGTTCTTTCTATATTATTATACCAAGAAGTTAAACTAATACATGATAGTTGGGAATTTACTTCCTTCACTACCTGTGACCTCTACTTTAAATATGTATATCGGAAACCAAGGTATTTACTGAGCTCTGTCGGTCGTTTGTCTGGATGTATCTAAGGTGGAATGCATAGAGCGAAATCTAAAAATCCTATGTATAGGTGCGGCTGAAAGCCTAAGAAAGGCTTCGCAGTACACTCCCCCTGGCACCGTTGATCGAAAAAGTCATAAAAAACACACTTTTTGAGGAGGTGTTGACTATTTCTTAAAAGTGTTTTAAATAATATTATTAAACCACAGGTTAAAAAATAGATAATATTTATATTTTAAATTAAAACTACATATAGCCAAAACGGATAACACATAATGGCGCGTCTAAACGGGCCATGTTTTGCTGCAATTGATGGCTGCAACACTGTGGCCGGCAACATTGCAAACAATAGCAGCCACACTATGCAATATTGCAGTAATGTCCCGGCCATATAGCCAAACATGTTTTGTATAGCTACATATGGCCGATGTTGCCCCGATGGGTGGCCGGACGATCGCTAGGCTGTCGAATTCAACTGCAATATTGCACAGCCAGTTCTCTTGTTGTTTCAGTCACTCTCTTTGTTATGGCATAGTGTATCCTTTTCTACGCGACATGACGTTTGCTTTGAGTGAAGTGTGCCTGTTGCTTTATTCTGTGTTTTGCGATCAGCTGTATTTGACGTTAGATTACTACGTAAAAATGACTAGTTTTGACATTCTAGTTCTTGAATAATTTATTATCAAGACTTATTTCTAGACTCAAATTGTCTACAGTTTCACGCCTATTTAAGTAAGGTCGAATCCACAATCTCTTCTTTTTCTGTTTCTTTTTTAAAACAATATAAGCTGCTGCGACAAGTGTGATTTCGTCAGCCATTGTTGCCGGTTTGTGTAGCCCGTTTAGGAGTCTGCATCATGGGCCATACTATTGCAACACATTGCCCAGCCATAGATTGTTCGGCCATCAGCTGCATTAAAATATTTTTGTAATGGCCGGGCAATTAGTGGCCAACAGTGCAGCCATCAATTGCAGCAAAACATGGCCCGTTTAGACGCGCCATAAGACAAAGATTAAGTACTAATTTGCCTTTTGTGTGGGAATGAGCAATGTGTGGGTGCGTGTGTGTAGTAGTATCAATTCGATTGACTTATTTCTCCTAAAATCTCCTAAAATTTGGAGACAATATATAATAAGTCAAGACTCGCGTATCTACTCCTTTTTATATAGATTTACAATGTGTATATAATTTTGATCATAATTTGTACCAAAATTGTGGATATGAAAAGTGTCTTTGTTCGATACATCTACTTACATCTAAGTGTTAGTGTTTAAATTCCAAATCGTAGATAAGCCTCGTGATAATTTTCATACCTCAAGTATATTCACATGTATGGTATAATAAGGTGACCAGTTAACGCATTATCAAGGATGCTTCTGAGGTAAGTTGAGAACAGTTTTTATTGTTACAAGGTTAATGTTGGTGATATGCCCGTTTTTAATGAATATTTAAATTTTATATGTCTTCACAGACAAGAAAAAAATGTCTCTGTAATAACCAAAACAATAGAAACCGGGAAAGTTTGACAAGAACAATATTGAATACTATTTTATATACTTTGGACGACCCTCTTACAATAACCTCACTGAATAAGGTGTCTTCATAACTTATAAAGTAACTTTAAAAGAAATGTAAAGTAATAATTGAATTTTTTCTTGACTTTTTTCACACATATCCGATAAAAATTTATTTATAGTTATGTGGTAAGTTTTTGTTAATATGACGTCAGCTATTATATTAACTGTGTGTTGAATCGTTTTTATACAACTACCTTGCTTCCTGATATTCGATTTAAATCCCCTTTAACGAGAAAAGTTAAACGTGAATAATTTGTACAGAGTACAGACCGAGTTATATGTGGTCATACAAGCGCGTTTTGCGATAATACTCGAACAAAACTCCTACTGTACATATAATATTTTATAGTGTATATGCTCACCAGTACAATTAGCTTGAGGTGGATAATTCTGATATTTGAAGTTCTCAGAAATATTTACAATTAAAATCTGTACCACAGCGAGAAGTGGTGCGATTAATTTTACGTCGATCCTCGCTAGAGTCGTGAGAAGCACCATTCTGAAAGCACAAATATTTTAAGAAAAGCTTGTGTTTTTTAAGCTTGGAGTGTGTTTATAAAATCTTTTATTGAGATATTCGACAATTTCTAAAATTAAAAAAAATCACGCTTTGCGATGCCGAGATGAAGGAATCTGTATTTTGGATAGTATTTCTGCATGAATTTAAAAAATATTACACCCTTTGCTACTCAGTTTTGGTGTCGAACCATAAAGGAGTAGCAAAGGGTGTTATATTTTTAGCTTTCTAGCTTAATTATATCTAGGAATACCTACTATCCAATACCGCCACAACGTCCTCTAACCGCAGGTGCCATGTGATGTCATGGACAGTGGACACCCGATATATTATAAGTAAAATAATTAACTAGCTATTCTCAAAAGCTATATAAATTTATTCAAAGTGTATAGAAAAAAACATCTTCTAAAATAGCATAATATTAAAAAAAGAATTTGAAAACAATTAATAATTAATAAAAATTTATATTTATATTTTCAATAATGTGGTAAGTAGGTACTTACTTACTTTTATCATAGAATGTATGTCCAATAAATACTATAATGACAACACAGACCTTTATAATCGACGTAACTTACCTACATATGTATGTACCGGTAATAAGTAGTTTAAGTAACATTTTCTATTCAAATAATTTACATTCTAATGAACATTTCGAAAAAAGTTAATTAATGTTTTATGATAAGGTTGCGTTAACTGAGTATTAGATAAGTGAACCACCACGTGAAGAATCTTATTTCAAAATGTTAGACTTCGTTGACAAAAACAGGTTTTTTGTTTTGTTAACATGTTGACCTTCGAAAAAAAAATATCTCACATTGTTTAGTTTATCTTAATTTAGCGTTTGTATGCATGTCATAGTTCTATTTCATTTCACATTGATTTCCTCTTCATAATAGAGGTCGTCGGGAGATGTTGGTTACAACTTGTTAGTCGAGAACTACGGGGAACTGCATCTACAAGCACCAGGTCTAGGGTGGTAGTGAGCGGCGATAAGATATAAATAGTAGATCGCTAGTTTCTGTTATAAGTACGTATTTTAAGTAACTTTTTGAAAGCGCTAAAGAACACAATACGTTTCATTAAATAAATAATATACGAATTTCCGCTAAAAAAACACCCTTTGTCGCTACTCCTCTTTTCGAAAACACTCTTCTTAAAGCCACAGCCAGCATTGGAATACTTGGCGTTGACATATCGAACAACGTTCAGTTTCGCGGTCACTTGGAGGGAAAGGCTTAAATTAGCCTCCAAAAAGCTTGGTGTGCTCAGCAAGGCGAGACGGTACTTCACTCCGGGCCACCGCATGCAACTATATAAAGCGCTAATTCGGCCCCACATGGAGTACTGCTCTCACCTCTGGGTGGGGGCTCCCCAGTACCAGCTCCTTCCACTTGACCGTATTCAACGCAGAGCGGTTCGAATCGTCGACGACCAATCCCTCTCCGAGCGGCTTGATCCTTTGGCGTTGCGTAGAGATGTGGGGTCACTCTGCATCTTCTACCGCATTTACCATGGAGAGTGTTCAGAGGAGTTGTTCGGATTAATACCTGCAGCTGAGTTTCGTCATCGGACGTCGAGGCAGAGTACGAAATTCCACCCGTATCACCTCGACGTCCGCCGTTCCACGACTGAGCGTTTTTCAAGGCAGTTTTTGCCGCGCACCACCACTTTGTGGAACCAGCTTCCCACTGAAGTATTTCCGAACCAATTCGACTTAGGGTCCTTCAAGAAAAGAGCGTACCAATTCTTGAAAGGCCGGCATTGAGAGTGCCCATGGGCGGCGGTATCACTTAACATCAGGTGAGCCTCCTGCCCGTTTGCCCCCTGTTCCATAAAAAAAAAATTACTAGATACTACTTAGATAAAGGACTTTAAGTAGTTTTCAAGAATGAATTAAGGAGCTGGCTCAGTGAAATACTCTATGAACATTTCCTGCGTGTAAAATTATTAATTTATTTAAGAAGGTAATTTCATACAGTCTTATTGTGGTAGTTGTATTTGGTCTTGACAGATACAGCTGACAGATTAAGCGATTTGACAAATGACAGTTAAGGCTGCCGTCTTACTTTTAGTATTTCAGTAATATTTGTATTTGGGAACAAGTAGTTAAAACTTTAATTAGTATTAAATGGCGAAAATCCGGAATCTTCTTAACATATCGTATTGCCGATATTACTGTGTCCAACGAGCTAAGAAAAAAGTTCCAATTATTTCATGCAAACGGCCAGAATACAATCATTTTGATGGACAAACGTACGGAAAGTTTGAGGTTATAAAGCTTGCATCTCAAGGTTGGTTACATCCCAAATCCAAGAATGACTACTTCACAATATACGGAGAGACTAAAAAAACGGAGACATCTGTTTATAGAAAGAGCTTTGAGGAAATTGGATTATCCGAGGAGTTGATCGATGTCGTATCGCAGCAAGGATATACTTTGCCGACTGCAATTCAAGCGAGATCTTTTTCGCCTATCATGCAAGGTTTTAATACTGCGATTACAGCTGAAACAGGATGTGGAAAAACATTGGCATATTTATTACCGATATTACAACAAATAGCATCTTGGAAACCACATATTGCAGAGGAATTTAACAGTCCTTTAGCTGTTGTTATTACGCCCAGTAGAGAATTAGGTAAAATATATTTTTAATATTAAGTTGTAACCACTGTTTTCATTCATCAAATCTGGATGAATGAATAGAAATAATCATCAATCAGAGGTAAATTTATAGTCAAACCAATAAAATCTGTAATTTTCACAGTTTTTTTGAATTTAATATTCAATAAAATTACAGCTTCTCAACTAGGTGAAATAGCTCAAAATATCTCAGAGCATTTAAACATTAATGTCTCCACACTAGTAGGTGGTAAGACAAAGAAGAAAATAATAGACCCACCTATTGAATATACTGATCTTATGATTGCATCATTGGGAGCATTTAGCAAACTAGTTACAACTGGAATTATCAAAATACATAATGTACACCATGTTGTATTAGATGAAGCAGACACATTGCTTGATGACTCTTTTATAGAAAAATTGGTTGCTTTAATGAAGAAGTTTAGAGTAAGTATATTATTTCATAATGTAGAAGGGTTTAGTTACCTTATGTGGCATTTTGAGTAAACTAAGAACTCCATTAAACTACCAAGTCTTATATATTACCAATTTCTTTATTGGAAAATGAGCAATACCAATTAATTAGACAGTTTCTCCCATTATCGTGCCTACTCAGTACATTTTTACTCTCATGGGCTCTTTTTCATTTTATTAATTTATATAATTGTAAATACAAACAATTGTCATAAAAGTAAAGTAGTCAGTTCTCTAGCTGCTATTATACAATTCTCCAAGTGCCTCTCTACACATTTTTGCTTTTTTATTTACTAATGTATTCTCATAAATATTTAAACCTTTTCAAATTGATTGTGTTTTGGCATTGATATTTTTACTATGAATGTTTTAGTTTTTGAGTTGGTTAGTTAATAATTGCACTTAATTTAGGAGGGGCTTAAATCATACCTATATATTAATTCCCAGGCAGTCAATACTTGTTTCAATTAACAAAACATGTAATGTATTACAGATTCATTACAAATGTGAAATGAAAGCTCCACCAGAAGGATGTCAGATTACCCTAGTGAGTGCAACACTACCCCATGAGTTACCTGAATCAGTTAGTGCCTTCATGGATCCTCAATCGTTACGAACAGTTGCCACAGACAAAATTCACAGGATATTACCCCACATCCCTCATAAGTAAATTTTGTTTCATAATTGTTTAGTTTTTAAGGATTTAGATCTGAAAAAATCTTTATCCAAAACAATCTATACAATTAGTTCTCTTTGGTAATACATATTATAGGTTTCAATAAAATAAAAAATTGTAAGACACATAAAACTTTCCAAATTCTTAAAAAATTACAATTGCTTGCAAATACTTATTTCTCTGAAATTAAGTTTCTTGTGATAATTTATGTATAGCCAAATTGGTTCATTCAAATAATCTAAAAAATAATACTCATTACAGATTTATTCGCCTTGGCAAAGCCCAAAAGCCAGGAGAGTTGTTGAAGCTTGTTCAAGCAGACTTAAATTTAAAACGTCAAGTAATGGTATTCTCAAATAAGACGTCTACTTGCGATTTTGTCTCAATGTTTCTTAATGAGAATGGCATAAAATGCTTAAATATTAATGGAAAGATGGCTGTCCCACTCAAAGCTGGAAATATGGATTTGTTCAAAAGTGGAAAAGTTCAGGTCATATCAAGTACCGACGTAGCTTCACGTGGGTTAGATACTACAGGGGTGAGTACTGTGTTGCTATTTCATTCCTTTTCCTTATTGTTATAAGATTGGTTTATACATCTTTTTTATAGTTAGACCTTTTAAGCTGTCCAAACCATGGCTTGGCAAGTCAACCTTAAAATAATCTGTGAATTTCTACCAACAATGCATGGTCACTTCTGCATCATGTGTAATGTTATTGTAGAATATGTTTTGAACCCATATACACATTTCCATGACTAGCTAAGCCCTGTAGGTAGTATTTATCAATTCCAAAGAAAAAAAGCATTTATTACTAAGTAATTCATATATACTAACTCCCTTATTCATAAAAACTAAATTAGTCTAATTACATTACATTAACTAAAGTACTAATCTATCTCTTTTTATCACAGCGTTAACACAAAACAACAGAAAAAAAAAAAAATTTTTTATTTAAATGAGTTTAATTAGAGTGATAATAATAAGTAAGCTTTTACTGCTATGCTAAGTTCAATAAATAAGTAATGTTGAACCAAATTGTAACATGACCCTATCATTAACTTAGATAAAATAATAATGCCGTATAAGTTGCAATTCTTAAATCTGAGTGCTTTGGATTGAGAGAGGTTCAAAAGACTTGAGATCTCAATTCACTTGCAAACTTGAAATGAATAAATGATATTCTTTCTCCATAGGTTAGTCATATAATAAATTACGACTTCCCTCTCTACACATCTGATTACATCCATCGCTGTGGCCGGACTGGACGACTCGGGTCACCCCAAGATTCTTCTGTGACTAACTTTGTAGCGTGGCCAAGGGAAGTACAACTAGTTCAAAAGATTGAAGAAGCAGTTAGAAGAAACAATGAATTGCCAAATGTAAATGCGAATATTAAAAGGCAAATTACTAATAGAATAATGAAAATGAGCGGAGTTGCATAGGTATAAATAAATTATTAGAGTGTAGATGTGGTTTTATTTAAAAAGAAAGTGGAATAAATAGTGTCTTTGTAATGGAGACATGGGTCATTTCTCTCGATAATTTTATTAAGTAGGTAATCTTAGGTGAAATAAAGTACCTATCGAAATAATAATGTATCTCAAAAATCAAGAATAGGGTCTCAAACAATGAGTAGAATAATAAGCAGTCTCCAAGGTAAGAATCTGTCAGGCCCACAGATACAAAGAACAAAAATTAAAACACAGAAACCAAAGTAATAAAGGTAAAGATAATATTAATAATTTTCTATGGCAATTTCTAGTAGTAGGTTATTTTAATAAAAGCTTAAATTTAAACGCCTTTTATTTTTAAATGGCAACAATCGTAATGAAGTGGTGTAAATTATAAATTTTTGAAATAAAAACAAAACAATTTCTAAGTAGTTTTTTTATTCACACCTCAAAATATTACAAGACAATTGTTTATTAAAATATTTCACTGCTGATTTGTAAATTTGAACACTATAAGACACTAATAGTAAAATACACTTTACAATATAAATATATATATGTCTCGGCACGTTACTTGGCAAGCTTTGGGTTGCAATTCTCGCATATAACGACTTACCAACTTATTAACCGAGAACTATACAATGTATTTGTATCTAGTTATTATTATAGTATTGCTTGAAATACACACGATCTATAAACCACTTTATCTATCACATATTCTAGAAGATCTACTGTTTCACAGGTTTGGAAAAATCTAATTTATTCATATATTTTAAATTAGGTACAGTATGTTTTATCACGTTGATTCATTTGCAGAGACGAGTTATAACAATTGTTTTGTGTTATAGCATTGCGATTAGTTCAAAAGAAATTTAAAAATAAATATTTTTCGTTATATGCCTAAAGGGTCCTAATCTTATATAGACATAGGTATTATATTAAGATTTTCTACTCATTGGTGTTTTGTCCTTAATTTTTAGTTTCTTAATTTTTACAAATACAATTAAATACAATCAATATTTTTCTAAAATATTTAGGCCTATTATAAAAACACATATTTTATTAAAAACTTAATTACTCTTACGAATGAATCTTACGGGGTTAATAAAAGAGGTCCCTGTTTAATACTGTGATACTTCAAAACATGAAATTATTATACCTGCACAAACCTATTAAGTTTTTGTACTACTTTATGCCAAGTTTTCGACATTATTTTTACAAACATCTGATACGATAGCGATGTCATATTTATTGGCACTTTGTCAGGGAGTGGCTATTCTAGTTAAATATTAGGTCAATTTTAATCAAAGATTTTACAGTGTAGCCCTGCTGGCTATAGATTAATGATCAATCAAAAATATGTAAAACTCATATCTAAAATTATTAAAAAAAATCTTTAGTCAAAGTAGTTACATTGTGTTCCGGAAGAAAATTTGGCATATCTATCAATGCTTTGTTGAGGGTCCCGGACTCGTGTCTTCTGTGGACCTCCAGCGGTTGTCCAAACTCATATCCTGATTATTTCTTATAACATTCTGATGACTATGTCGTCTATTCTCATCAAATAGTTCATTCGACATGTTAAATACACTATCAGCACTTGTTTTACGTCTAGTATCTAGAGTGGACATACTAGAAGCAGATGGTGATATTCTGTGTGGAAATCGTGGTGATCCTTTGATTTTTTCCAACGAATTTTGCGTTGGGTTATGCGTTGTAGGCAGAACGAAATTAACGCGTGTTTCCGGCTCTGCTACGTATTTATTTCTCTGAGAATATGAGCAAGACGGTTCATCATCTGTGACTCTAATGATTGGTCCACTCCTAGCGTATGATTCTCTGCGTAATCTCATTTCTAGACTTGGTACATTGAGGGTATTGCACGAATGAACTATTGAGTGTTTTCTGTTCCCTGGGACGAGGCCAGCGATCATTCCAACGTGCATTTTTAAAGCTGCAGCTATGCTTTGTCCTGTTGGATCAGCTATGGACATGGTGGAGGCTTTTCTGCTGCTTGGTCGGCTACCGAAGAAACTTTTCAATCTTTTTAGGAGGCCGTGGTTTTCCTCTCGTTTGAAGCAAATGTTGTAAAGATCCATTTGTTGGGATTTTCTGTAGAATAGTTTTGGTTGTGAGCTGAAACTGACGGAGTTTCTTCCTCTGTAAGCTTCAGCCGAAGGCCAGCTCGCTCGAGGAATGACAGGAGGTAAAACAGAGAGTAGCAACATTGGTAGACCTCCACTGATGCTTGGTGTACGTTTGTCTTTGTGGCTCTCTTCTTCTACAGTGTTTAATTCGCTCTGGAATGTTAAATAAATTGTTTGAAATCACATTAAAGTTTAGATTTTTTTATATAATTGTGTATCTTACACAAACTGTAAGTTGAATGAATGTGCGAGAAGAATTTGGTGTAATATAATAGTTACATTAAAATATTTATATTAAATTGTGCACAATTTCTAATGTAAATATAATGTATCAGGAGTTTCTTGACGAAATCTAATCTTAAACAGATCTAAATCTAAATAACTACGAAAACCACACACTGTATACTTAAGTTAAAGTCCAAGTCCATGTTAGTGTCTTTGTTCAAAAGGAAGTTCCTATTGAAAAAAAGATTACAGTTTATTTTTGAGCCAGTAAGCGATATATAAAACAATAAATATGATAACATTATTCGTTAATAATGACGAAACACAACATCTGTATAGTAGAATATAAGCGCAAATAAAATACCGCCGTACAATTTTTTAAACTAGTCTGAAATTTTTTTCTGAGGTTAAAAAGTTCTCCAATTACATGAATTTTAGAACAATAAAGATTTAGATATCTACTACTGACGGTGATTAGACAGTGTTATGTAGTAGTAGTACACTTATAAATGAATAATAAATTACCAGACAATATTTAAAGCTTTTAAAAAGGTTATGCAGTTCAAAGAACAACTTACTCGTTTATGGAGACTGCTAGACTCCAAAGGCTCTGCTAGCAGCCTCTCAAGCTTAGCGATCTCTTTATCTAACGCTGCCACTTCCCGCTTATAAACTTTATTTTGTATCTCTATTCGAAAATGTAACTCCTGTGTTTCGTCCGTCACAAATCTTCTTGTTTTACATTCGAGACGTAATCCTAAACTTTGAATTACTGGATCTTCTTCAGCTGAAATAACACAATTATGAAACGATATCGTTTAAATACAATTAGAACACGTACATAAATTTTTAGAACAATCACGATCACCAACTTTAAACTTTCCTACATAATTAATATAAATGCATCCATTTTTTAATATAAATCGGTATTGTACCAACATTCATATTGAATAGTCGTGTCCTGAAGAGCATCATTTCATTACAATACTCAGTACCTTATAAGGACTTACGAATAGCAAATAAGGTACAAGATAAGACTTTTTATCCATTAGTTACAATAATGTGTTCTTGACTAAACTACCGATAATCGGATACAGGACTTTTAACTACGGATTTTTATTTGCACAGCATGTTTTTTTATTAAATTCACACGCTCCGTGTTTTTAAACCGCTTTCAACTTTAAAATAAATTTTGTATTAATTGCAAAAGTAACCTTTCTGTTTATTATCTGTGTATCCACATTTTTGTTGCTGTTTTGTTTTCTTATTTTATATACGTACATCTGTGAGCTCTTATTATTAATCTTAGTTTTTTTATAGAACAGGAGGCAAACGGTCAGGAGGATCACCTGATGTTAAGTGATACCGCCGCCCTCGGACACTCTCTATGCCAGAGGGCTCGCGACTGCGTTGTTTTAAGAATTGGTACGCTCGTTTCTTGAAGGACCCTAAGTCGAATTGGTTCGGGAATACTTCAGTGGGCAGCTGGTTCCACATAGTGGTAGTGCGCGGCAAAAACTGCCTTTATTTAACATATTGTTTCTCAGTTACTGAATTATGTATGCAATTCTTATGAGAAATAAAGTTATTCTTAAACCTTAAAGTTACCTTTCTTTCTAATAGCAATAATCTTCGGCAGGAACAATAGGCACAACGTAGACGTTGTAGCGATAAGAATCAAGCTGGTTATAGTAATGTAAGCTAGGGTAGCCCTCTCAGAGATAATAGTACCAATAACGACTATACTGGTACTTGTTATGACTACAGAATAGACACTGATGCCTATGTATTTCGAATCGTTGAGTGCTGTTATTTTCACATGTCGTGTTTCCCACGCCATGTACACAGCCACCAAGAGGAGGAGACCCTTGTACGCATACAAGACGCAGAGCCATCCGGTGGTGTTGTGTGACTTGCAGATTTCTATCTGAATATGAAAGAACATCTTTTATTTTATGAAAGTAAGCATGTTACAAAAAAAAGGGTGCGTGTACTTCATGTACGCGCGTAAGAAGTTATACTTCTTTGGCATTATTAAAAATAGGTTTTTGATTGCATACAAATAATTAATTACAATTAAATAATCAAAGACTGGAAAAGGAGTCATTATAGTCAATAAAGTTCAGTTTACATTTAAAAAATTAAATAAATAAATATTTATTATTATTCTCTTACATTAAGTGTAACATAAATTCTATTATTATTCGAATGTTGTTTTTAAATTATGTCCAATGCCGTAGCATCTTCCGTGGGAAACATCATTCTGTTAATTTTGTGTCACGGTGCGCGCGTATCGTAAAATTTCACTCTCATAAATTTTTCATAACGCGCCTAAAGAAGTATAACTTCAAAAACAAACTATTATTTCAAGAGTCAAATGTCAAAATCATTTATTCATATAGGTAACACAATGAACACTTATGAACGTCAGAAAAAAAATGAAATGCTTCTAATTTTACATTTACTGCCAGTTCTCAATTTGAGGGCGTAGAATGGAAGAGAAGAACTGGCAATTAACTCTCCGCCACTCTTTTTTATTTTACTTGGACACCAATGTTGTATTTATTTTCGTAATATAGTAATTTTTTACACATTTACAACAGAAATATCAAAGATGAAAGTAGTTTTACTAGGGGTTTTCGCAGAAAAAAAAAATGTACATGATACCAGTTAATTTCCAAAATATTATACATTCCTATTCTTCCTACGAGTGAAGAAACGAAGTCGTCTTTGAACAATTAATTACTGCTATTAATTAGGACCGTAGCTTTAGATTACAAATATTACCTGCGGTTGATAAACAACACTTCTATCTGTAGCACTGATTTCCGCTGTCAGGTTCTTGAGATGCCTCTCCATAGGATCAAGAGTCGCCCACAAAGTGACAAGTAGACCATCAATCACCAGCAGAGCGCAAACTAATGATATTAGTGGTGTGTCTTGGAGAAGCTTTGTCTTGCAAACTCCACTTCGGTTACTGAAATAAATTAAATTAATTGGATTGGAAAAAAGGGTCTTTAGTTAAGTTTACAGTACAGAAAATTTACACATTTTCTAACGTAATAAATAAATTAAAAATTACTTTAATTTTCTACCATAAAATTAACTTCGGTAACTGAATAAATTAAATGTATCGGATTAGAAAAATAAAAGCATTTGATCGAGTTTTTTTACAGAAATTGTGTAAAATCTCGGTGGTAAATAAATTTTTAAAGGCTTTTATTTCCAATTATAAAAAAACAATAGTAGAAAACCATAGTAATCTTTAAAAATATTTTGATAAGTGATATCTATTACATTGTACGACGTATGATTAGTTTTTTATATTATAAGGCGCGTCTAAACGGGCCATGTTTTGCGCAAATTTGGGGTTGCACTGGGTGCCATCATTTGGCCGGCCTATTATTGAAAAATGTTTTATGCAGCTTGAAACTCCCTTCAAATGTGTTTCAAGATTGTATATGGCCCATTTTGCCCAGTTCTTAAACGGGCTAAACAAAAAAAATGGTAAGGTACGCGAGGAAAGAAATATATTCTATTTGCCGTCCATATACTATAGATAGAAATAGATTTTATTAAACAATTTTTTTAAATTTTTTCCTTTGTCTTATTTCCCAAATTTCTATTTCCGTCCATTTATAGTAGAAATAGATTTTATTAAATTTTTTCGTTTGATAGATTTTATGTTCTTATATAATTGATGTGTATGTGTGCACATTGTTTTAGAACGTATAAATAAATAAATAGGTAATCAGTCTGTAGTAGGTCGAATTATATTTTTTCTGTCATTTTCGGAAAATTCAGTTAAAAGTAGTTCAAAATTCAAAATTCTAAAATCATTTATTCATATAGGTTACAAAATGTACACTTATGTACGTCGAAAAATAAATATATATGAAATGCTTCTAATTTTACATTTACTGCCAGTTCTCAAATCAAGGGCGTAGAACGGAAGAGAAGAACTGGCAATAAACTCACCGCCACTCTTTTTAATCGTACTTATACAATTATCTTAAAACATATATATAATTACTATATTTAAATATAGTAATAACTAAGGTCTAAGTATATCTATGCTAATACGATACCTTATAAAAATCCTATGAACCCTGTATGTTTTTGCGAACATTGACCCAAATGCAAGGGAGAATCCAGCTGACAGTATGTATACTCTGCTCTGCAATTAATTAATATATCAGTAGACAAATAAAACTACATAAATTAAATTATGCAAAGATATATTATGTCGTTGTTTGTTTGTTTGTTTGTCGTGTTTTTTTTGGAACATAAGGTTCATGTTTCCCCTTTTCCCCCCCCTTTAATTTTTGACTTTTTGGGATCCCTCCCCTCCGGGAAAGGGGCCGGGGGGTGTGGGGGGGGGGGGCGGCCGGGGGGGGGGGCCCATTAGTCTCGGACTTTCCAAATCATCAAACAACACTTATTTAAAACAAATATCGCATAGTCCTGTAACAACCCAACTTGTTTTGACTGGAATCGAACCTAGGAGTATCAGATTACACGCCATGTCACTACTAAGTTAGGGAGGTATAATTTATTTCATGTTAAAAAAATTAACACTCAATAAACTAAACTAATTATTCTAAACATACATATAGTTTGTAAGCTCTGTATAACGGCATTCGTTATAACGATAATCTCTATATAACGTAAAAATTACTTAATACAAAACCCATACATTAATTCATTCTTTATAGCGCAACAGCCATTATCTATTACGAAGAAATATTTCATATTTAGACATCAACAACATACTTAAGTGTAATTGTTTTTATAATCAGCTTACAAAACTAACCTATTGAGGTGCCGAAATGTTAATTTTATTGTCTGTAGGAAATTTTCGTCTCAGTTACTAAACGCACTACCGTCACATATATCGTGTATTAAGTGCGCAAAATTTTAAATTCCAAACATTTAGTCGTTTGACTCAAATAAAAACACTCTAATGAACACTATTCTACTAGGAGACTACGCATGGGCACTACACTTTATTGCAGGTTCTGTATATACCATAGGAAACTGAGTTTTTCTATGGTATATTATTATACTTACAGTACACATAGCTGTGAATGGTATATAAGAAGGCAGGATGGCATTATCCACACCAAGGAGTGCTACCGCAGTATATACTAGCACACATCCGATCAGAGTCATATTGTTTAAACGCGGAGATGACAGCTTTATGGATCTGTGGGTAGTAATTATGTCAAAGATATAATAGGAGAACATTAAATGGAAAATAGTTTCAAGACCAATCTATGGTGTGAAACTTTCGACTATTCATTGCGTCCTTATTATTATAATTACGATGTTCGAAAGAATACAACTAATGTTTCTTAGTTTTTTTGTGGTTTAATGTTTTTTATAATTTTGGTTCATCGTGCTTGCTGGACATGGGTACTACCCCTGTACATTTTTATATAAAATGCGTATATACTTCGCGCTTTATATATTTTTTTGACACGTGCTTGTCATAACTGATTATTAAAAACTTAATAATAATAAATAATCGGTAACATTTTCAACCTGCAAAATCGTTTAATAATAATTTTGATTAGTTTTATTATATTGATTACATGTTTCATTCTAATTCATTGTAGCATTTGCCCTAAGCGCACTAGAATAAATAATTAGGTCATTATCTAATAATAATTAATTAATATTCATAACAAAACATATATTATTTAAAATACATACATAAATTTTTTATACATTTACACATTTTTTATAATAATATACATACATATCACTATATATATATAAAATTCTCGTGTCACTTTGTTCGTTCCCATACTCCTCCGAAACCGCTCGACCGATTCTTATGAAATGTTTTATGCATATTCAGTAAGTCTGAGAATCGGCTACTATGTATTTTCGTACCCCTATAAGGGGTGTCCACCCCAAACATTTAATTTTTTAGACAATTTTTTTGTTTATATTTTTTATGATACAACAAACAATAATACTACATACAACCCTTAATTTTTACCCCTCTACGAACAACCCCTATTTTTATTATAGTAGATAGTTATTTTTATTTAACGCACAACGGAACAATTATGAGACTAAGTGCGGAAAATGAGTCCACCAACCATAGTTATTTTTATTGAACTAAAAATTTTTTTCCTAGATATAATATACACGGCAAAACAACGCTTGCCGGGTCAGCTAGTTATTAAAAAAAAAAAAAAAAAATATAGTATTGATATTAACATACCTTCGTTTACTATAGTGTAAGTTAAAAGCTAGAAATCCCAATGCTAAAGCAACTCCAGCTGCCGACAAGGCGGTTACGGCGAGTCTCGCAGGTGCCCAAACTGAGTCCACTCGAAGGACCATAACGCGTCTAGCTGCTGGAATCCCGCCCGCCCAACGGGGTTTGGCACACTCTGGGCAGATCATTTGTTTTCCGTGAGTGTAGAGAGCTACAGTCTTCGGGCGGCCTCCTGATGTTTAAAGTTTAATTTTTATACAACTATATTATGTAATAAAATTATTTTTTATTAATTTACTACCTAACGTATCCGTAATTGGTAAAAGTTTTAAGTTTTAAAAATAATTACATTCTTTAATGTTATTAATTAGGTTTATTTTAAAATAATATAACAAAGTTAGATCAAAATATCGGTTTTACTCCTTTACAAAAATAGAAGATTTGTTATTGGTTGATTATTAAATTTTAAACTATTTTTGTTATCAACGCAAGGGCAACTTGCTATGGACGCCGCTCAGTTGACGACTCCTGTAACTGTATGTCAAAACAATTTGGTTGTCTGTAAAGTCGGATGACGGGCAATCGTAATCCGTAATCGTATCAAAATGTCATAAGAAAACATTGATGAAAAATTGCATACTTTTATGAATTGATTTTTGGAATATTTTATATTTTTCCAAATTAAGGCAGGTGTTTATTAGTTGCTTAATACTAAAATGCTCTCTATATCATTCATAGATATATTTAAAATATTTCCTGAAATTGATAGAGCAGGTGCATTCCTATTGCGCCTTGAAGGAAACGTCCCTGAAAAATATTAATTAATTATGTATGTTTCTTCGCCCGTCTATACGTCATTTATACGATATAACTCAAAGGTATGTCGAGGCGAGAAAATGCGAAGATATCTACTCTTGGCCTAGTGGCTTCAATTTGCCAACTACACGGGGACAGGTCGATCCCAGACATTCACAAATACCTTTCTGCCATATGCGTATAACACTCGCTCGTACGGTGAAGAAAAACATCGCGAGGAAACCGGCGCCAGACCCAAAAACAGAAAAATATTCAGCCATACCTAATGTTTGTGTTCTTGGCCCTTCTCATTTCGTCGTTAAAACATTAACAACGTTGATCACAATGCTGCAAAACATTCAAAACTGTTTTATTTCAATATGTAATACTTGTGTGAAGTCAATATTCAATTAGTTTGAATATTATTTAACAAAGCATAAATAAATAAAATTTAAACGAAGAAATGTTTGAAGATGAAATTAATTCTATCCAAACAGTGAGGAGGTATTTTCTTCAAGCAAATACAGTTTACGTGACATTTCGTCTAATGAAATCGGGAAACTTGCGCGAAGCATATTAATGTTGACAATCTTGTACAGTGCGAAAGTTGAATTATTACTTTTGCATAGTAACCGCTTGTTTTTTGCATTCATATATTTGTACATATTTATTAACTCACCTACTAGTATTACTACATTAAGAGCAGTGTTGGCCTAGTGGCTTCAACGTGCGACTCTCATACCAGAAGTCTTACGTTCGATCTCCGGCTGTGCACCAATGGACTTTCTTTCTATGTACGCATTTGCTCGAACGGTGGAGGAAAACATCGTGAGGAAACATGTCTTAGACCCAAAATGTCGAAGGCGTGTGGCAGGCACTTGAGGCTGACCTACTTGCCTATTAGATTTAAAAATTATCATGAACAGATTCAAAAATCTGAGGCCAAGACGTAAAGAGGTGGTAGCGCCACTGATTATTATTATTATTACTAGTATTACTACATATCGACGTAGGAAAGCATATTTGCTGTAAGTAGACAAAATACCTTAAGTGACTTTTTCCTGCCATTAGAATCAGAAAAAAAAGCCGCATCGAATGACCTGGGTCCTGTGTCTCTACGATGAAAAAAAAATTACATACGCCGTTTAAAACGCCCGCACTTATATTATTTTTAGCAAGATTAAATGCTGTATGTAGACCAAAATCTAGTCATTTCAGACATTTTGCACTTACAGCAAAAGAAAATCTGCATTTTTTTCTTTACAAATACTTACTTCTTCCCATTTAAAAACTTAACGCTACTTACAGCATTTCAGCGGCGTGTGATTTTTACATTCGTTTACTTACAGCAAGTTTAGGGAACCTACAGTTTTGGTTTTTTTACCATTTACGACATTTTATTTCAACCAAACCTTACATTACCAAATGACCCACTGCATTTCTAGATCTAATCATAATTATAAACAAATCTTACATCTTGAATTGCAATTAAAAGTACCCAAATACATAAATTTCCTGCATACAGCATATTTACCGCCTGTAAATTGATAATATTTCCGCACGTACATTTTTCTTCCTTAGTTACAGCGTTTTAAAGGTTTGTGATTTAAAAAACTGTTTGCTGTAACTAGCCAAACCTACTTATAGTAACTTTGGATAAAAAGTTTACATTGCAAATGGTGACTGGCAGTTAAATAAATATATGTTTCAAAAATGGTAGCAATATCATGGATAGGTCAGACACTATTAATTTTTTTCCGAAATTAATAAAGTTTTTTGCTCTGGTGAACAATTGCAATATGTCTACTTACAGCAAATGTGCTTTCCTACGTCGATATATAGAATCAACAAAATTTTCTTTCAAATTGACCTTGAGTAACGAGGATAAAACATTTTCTTTCGGCAGTTACTACATTTATTAAATTTGATAAATTGTACGAACACTGAAAATGTTTAGACCGGGCCAGTTAGAAACGTTGCTTAAAACTTTTTTGAATTTCAATTTTAGAACCCGTTGGTAACCTAATGTAGTATATTGCATTCATTTGGAATTTGTTTTTGTAAATTGGCGGCAAATCTAAAACTCTTGTTACACGTGAAAATGAACCTAACGCGAGAAAATTTTCGGTCAATGAATTATTATGACTTTCGCTGTGGGCTTACTCAACAACAAAGATATGATAGGCTACGATTAGCATTTCTTAATGAAGCCCCATCTCGTGCCACTATTTACAATTATTGGTTTAACGAGTTTAAGCGTGGTAGTAGCAATCTCAATGATGATCCTTTAACAGCGACTACTGAAGATATCATCAGTGCTGTGCGACGCATGATAGAGGAAGATAAGAGAGTGACCTATCAGCAGATACGGGCAAGCCTAGGCATTGGTATGAGTTAAGTACAAAAAATATTACACGAACATTTAGGCGTCAGGAAGCTTTGTACCAGATGGATTCCCCATCTTTAACCGACGACCAGAAACACCTTCGCATGGAATGGTGTCGCCAAATGTTAAATAAGTTCAACGGCGGTGATTCAAATGCTGTATTTGACATCGACATAGGTGATGAAAGCTGGATATATTGCTACGAACCCGAAACCAAAAGACAATCGCTTTACGAGCCCTGAAGATGCTGTGAAAGCGTACGAAAATGCCATAGAAGAGACCCCTAAGGAATAATAGGCCCATTGCTTTTCTCAGTGGATCCATCGAATGCGACGATGTGTAGAGAGCAACGGAGATTAATTCGAAAAACAATAAAAGTATTGGCAACTTTCTACATTAAGCCGTTTTTCATTTTCTAAACATTTTCAGTGTTACCCGTGTATTTGTTTTATCGCCATTTTTACACAGATTCCACAATCTAAGCAAAAACGATATATTAATTATTATAATTGATTATTTGCACCTTAAGAAGATTCAGAAGAGGACGTAAGTTAAAACGGTGCAACTAGATTCGATTTTGTGAATAAGCTGGATCTGGAGAGTATTTTGTTCCATTGAAAATGTTACGCTAAAATAATACCTTTTACAAATTGTTATTTTTTCAGGAATAGTGGAAAAAGTCTATATATACGTTATATATACATAATATGTTTTGTGTAAGCTATAATTTTCTCTGAATTACCTCGTAATATAAAGAAAGTCGTATGTTGAAGTTATAAATTATATTTCCGCAGAAATAGAATGTGATCTGCTTTTAAGAATTTCTCAGGAGATTTCCACATCGAAGACGTATGTCGAGTGAATAATATATTACACAAGACCTCGTATATTATTAGATCGGAAACAGCAATTATATCTTAGTGGTTTAATATGTCTTGTATATATTTACCTAAGAACTTTATATAAAAAAAATTGAGGTACTACACTTTTCATATTAAGAATATTTTATATTCAATGTAAAGAAAAGTACTTAAAGAATAATTTATTAATATGATAGTGCCAGTATCCCCAGAGCTGATGTTTTTCTCGATCAGCATACATATTGTAATGAAATCTTTTCAGTGAAGAAATACTGACAGCATTATGCCACAAGGATTAAATTTATAAAGATTCTAGAAATTAATTGTAATAATTGTTTCTCATAGTAAACGGCTCAAATATCGTTCCTCCAACTTCGGTTTTGTTCCCTTTGAGAGTCTTGGGCCGTGGGGTTCAAGTGCACAGGCGTTTATTAAAGATTAAAGTTGGCGCCTAGTAGATAGTACCGGTGACCGTATCGCAATACAGCGAGGAAATGCTGCCAGCGTTAAGGGTACACTGCCACAGGGATCAAACTTTTTAAATTTGTTTTAATTTTATTAATATTTAATCATTTTTATTATTACTATCTATGTAGGTTAAAAAATTGTAATTATTATGCCTATATATTTAATGACTATTTTTATTACACGATTTTTAAAACTAATCTTTGTAATTAACAATTTTCACTTTATTGCAGCCGAACTTAGAAAAATACATTGAATTATAATTATAAAGCACGGCGCATCAAAGCTACGAAATTGGATGTCCAATTAATTAACTACTGATTAAGTAATTTTCTCCAGGTTTTTTTTCTTTAAAATTTTACTTGAGTAATAAGTAACACGGAACGGAATGACTTTGCTACGAATGGTAGTGAGAGAACGTGGTAAAGTAGCCAATAGGTCGGTGTAGTGTATGGGTATATTATATATCTGTAAAAATCTTATGTTAAAAAAGTTTAGTAAAAATAAAAAATATTTTGATTCTAGTGAGACCTTCTCACTAGGGAGCCCTGGTATTGTGGATGACTAGACTAGGAATGACTACTAGGACTACTCATCCCTGAGGTCGTAGATTCGATTCCCGGCTGTGCACCAATGCACTTTCTTTCTTTGTACGCATTGAACATTAACGGTGAAGGAAAACATCGTGAGGAAACCGGCTTGCTTTAGACCCAATAAGTCGAGGGTGTGCGTCAGGCACAAAAGGCTGATCACCTTGCCTATTAGATTTACAAATGATCATGAAACAGATACAGAAATCTGACGCCCAGACCTTAAAAGGTTGTAGCACCAATGATTTACATTTTATATTTAAATAAATAATATTTACCGAAACCCCAAGAAAACTCAAGTTCCCGAGCTGATTAAGGAACTCGTCAGCCATATCCTTTCTGTCGTAGTCGAAGTGTCCAAGGCTGGTCGTGGAATTATCTGTACTTCGCCACAATTGTTCTGCTCTGCTTAGTGCAAGTGCGATAGCCCAAACTGCATCGTATGTGTGAGGAGCAAAGGGTGAAATTGCCACTCCAGCAGCTGACATTTCGTGTAGAAACATTTCGTTGGTCTGAAAAGTATTAATTTGTTTATACGAGTAGGTATACAAACTAGCTGGCCCGGCTAACTTCGTTCCGCCTAACGGTCTAATTATATCGTGTTAACTTTTTAAACTTAATTTAGGATTAATACAACTTTTTTTTTGCAAATACAGAAATGTTTTATTGCTTGCCATTGCGAAAGAAGAATGTCAGTTTTACGCATTAGGCCTCTTCTCTCTAGCGCCAATATTGCGATACTGCACTTTCTGATATACAACATTTTTTGATGAGGTAACGTCTTGGATCAAGATCAAAGCCTGGTTATGCATCTCCTCCTCAAGATCGGAATTTCTTGAACTGACACGAATTCGACGTACAATGATGCGTAGTTTTGTCAACGGATGGCACATGCTGTTTGCATTCGTAAAATTAATTTACTTATTTATTGTTATTCGATATCTTATCTGATATTGTATTACTTATTCTGCTATTCGGAGCAGAGAAGAATCCACCGAAAAAGAGATAACTAACATCGGTCCAGCCGATCTTGAGTTGTAAGTGGTGTAACTAACACGACTTTGTTTTATATATTTAGATATTATAATATGTTCATTAACATGTCACGCCTTTATTAAATAATAATCATTTTAAGTAAGGTTTTTTATTGAAATTGATTTCAATTGCTCTAAACTTAATAAAAAATCTCCAAAAGGAACGTTTCACAGCTGAGTCATAAATTAAATTTTTCACTAACCGCTTTATTCTAAATTTGATTGAGTGAATTTGACGGTGTAGTCTCATAAATTTCACCTTGAGAGATGGCGATTCAGGTCCTCTAAAGGCGAAATCACTAACTTTTTATTTTAACATAAAAGAAAAATAACAAAAAACTTGGCGATTAAAAAGAGTGGCGGAAAGTTTGCCAGTTCTCTTTCGTTCTACGCCCTTGATTTGAGTAAATGTAAACTTAGAAACATTTATTTTATATTTCTTTTTTGACGTTCATAGTGTACATTATGTTACCTATATCAATAAATGATTTTGACTTTTGAAGATAATTTATTGGTGTATGTCACCTTACAATGGTCAAATATAAAGTTGATATATCACTTAGCCATCTATCTCTCTGAGCGTTAAAGTATAGTATACTATTATTTTTTGAGGACAAGTGACAAACAAGCAGGAGGCTCACACGATGTTAAGTGATACCGCCGCCTATGGACAATCACTATGCCATAATGCGTTGTGTTGGATAGCGAGTGCGTTGCAAGCCTTTTTTTCTTGGACGACCCCTAGTTGAAATGATTTGGAAATACTTCAACGGGCAGCTAGTTGCAAATAGTTAAAAAACACTTGCAATGGAACGTCTGACATCGAGATGATATTTCATATTCTGCCTCGACATTCGATGATCACACTTAGTTGCGGGGAACTAGTCAATCTTAAAAGAAATTACAAGTAGAATCTTTCGCAAAAGACCTTGTAAATTATTTGAATAAAGTCAATATTCCAAGTCATATAACCTTTATTATTTCCCCACAGACTAACGTATCGTTGCAAGTAAATAAGTAATTACTAAAGATATATTTTAACAGTTAGTTTACACTTTTGGGAATAGAGAACTTTCTTTCATTGACCTTTAGGGGTTAGCCCTTTACCTTTATATTTATAATTATTCCTGTTTAGCAAAAAGGTGTGTATGGCCCGAGGTGTTCACCGTTATGCTGGATGCTTTATGGATACGGTAAGTGGAAATTGGACTCAGAAAAAAAAACAACGGTGCATAGCCTGTACACACACCACAGGACAACTTGAGAATCTCGCGTTTAACTAATAGATAATTTAATAATAAGAAATCCAGACTAAAATGTATATGAGCAGACCACATACGGGCTAATTTTAGATTTTTATTTTTATTTCATAACACAATACCAGAATGTAGTACATAATATGTTTATAAACTTTAATCTAAACTCTAAAAAGTTGCAGGCTACAGTCATTCAAGTCCATCATATGTCTTAGATAGTGTAGAAATGTAACCCCATCCATTATACCAGAGTACTGCCGATTTCTGGCGAAGGACATTTCGCAAATCCATTCAGATAGGCGCTTCAGTGATCCAACGTATAGTCCGCACCACCGGTTGAAGTGTCTCCGTACAGTCTTTGTCGTTCAATCAACTAAAATAATCGTAAAGGTATACCTGTCTTGACAAACAGATTCTTCAATGTGTGGTTTTCAGAAATAAAAGCGAAGTTACCCTATTACTGTAATTATAGTTAATCTATCTCAATACATACCAGGCCTGAGAAAGAAGGAACATCGCCAACGATTCCTCTATGTGCAGTGACAGATACCATGCCTTCAAGCGCTTTGGCGAGCTGTGAACGAGAGCAGGGAGCGACTCCCCTCACTCGAGGCGGCGCCCCTGCTACAAGCCAGGCGTACTCCGCACCAAACATACCCAGACGGAATGCCTATGATAATATGGACTGACATTATTATACATCATAGAGGCTTTAAGAGAAATTCAACCTATCTTAACACGTCTTGTTTCTGAATCTGTCAACGCGATCCATCACCACAAAGGAAAAGGCGCGCTTGTAAGTTCGCAGATTTTCCCCGGGAATTTTAACTTAATCATAAATATTTTGAATGTACTGATGGTTTAGAACAGATTTTAAATCCTATCTACAGTGAAATGTTAAAAAACATTATTTTTCAATTAAAAGCTCACTCAAATCAACTATGAACAGATGTATATTTTCGGATTTAGTTTTAATTAACAACCACAACGAACATTCGCAAAATGAATTTAACAATGATATATATGAGTACCAGTTGATAAAGCAAGTAAATATAAATATATAGAGTGAACTCAATTTAACAGTATTTAGTTAAAACTTTCCATTAAAGTCTTACCTCACAAAATATCTTCGGTATCATCTCCTGTGAGAAACTCCCAATTATTATTCTTGTGTCCAATTTCTGTAAAATCAAGCTATGTTAGTGGTCAATAGTTTAATTTTTGATGTGTTTAAACGTTACTTAATTAGCTCCTTGCTAACGAAGAATTTTGCGTACAATTAGCAATTGTAGAATGATAGCGGAGACAGATGATAATCTAACATTTAATTTAGCGCCTGGTAAACAGTATCGGTGACCCCACAGCTGGTTCTAACAATTTATTTTATTTATTTATTTACACTTCATTACCTTATACAAAAACATAAATATAAAAAAGCAGGTTACAAGTAACTAGGCAACGGGTGGCCTTATCGCTGACAAGCGATTTCTTCCAGGCAACCCTAGTATGGAACAACAAAAAACACCTACAGAGGGTAAAGTACAAGAAGTGCATAAATAATTAACAAAAAGAACATAAAATAACATGTAACACTAACTATAGCTAAAATAAATTAAAATCTAAAATAAATTAGTAATAATAATATAAACAAAAATGTCAAAGCTAATCCAATGGTTAATGAGTCAATTTACATATATGCTTATTAATATTGTATATTTGTGTGTTGGAAATAAATATATGTATGTAAATATAAATACTGAAATAAGTTTATTTTTTTAACAAAACTTACAGTGGAACAAAGTTTTCTAGTAAGCGCAATATTTAAGTGCTTCTAACACTAATGGTTGGTCTTGGCAAGTACCACCTACGGCTTTAAGTAATTTCAACTTTGCAACTAGGTTCATAGTTTTCAGGTCGCCTGTATTTTATTGGTAACTGCAACTTGTATAGAATATAATATGTAATATGTATATATTACCGTACTTTGGTAATATATGTATTATGTATATATAGTAAATAAAAAAAAATATTAATCGCTGATAAGTTAAATCTTACGTATAAGATACTTGATCCTGGAAAAGATTTAACGGTCCGCGCACGTGGTAACAAAAAACAGAATATATTAGCAAATAAGAACTGCATTCTTTCCGAAGAGATAGCAGGAAGGCCAGAAGCTTCGCGATTATGTTGCCTGCCTTTTAAAACTAATTTATGAATAGATATCTACGGGTTTTAGAATAGGTAGCAAAACATTGCATTCAATCATTTTTGAAAATCCGTTTGCCACATTCTTATTAATTAGGATTTATTAAAATAGCCAGGTCAATAGTGCCCATAACTAATGAAACCCAGAATGTCACATCACTCACGAGAGTGGAGTGAGTTTGTCAGGGTCGTAGCAGGTGGACATCCGTCTACCTCTTTGGGAAAAAGGCGTAAAGATATACATAAAAATATCTTATAAGATCGAAATGGAAACTTAATTATTTTAATTGAATCAACAAAAGCGGCAATTGCTTGAAATAAGCGCCCCACTTTGGAAGTTTCTTGATAACTTAACTTGACATCACAACGCATGCCTACAAGAAAAGCTCTCACGATATAAATAGAAGTTATTCCTATACAAATTTATCAAAAGAAATGCATGAGAGGTTTTCTCAGCCTTGGTTTTATAAAAGCTATGTTCGTTTGTACGATGTAAGATTTATATATATAATGCAAGGAGACTTCGTAGAGAAATGAACAATAAAATGCTTACTAATTGAATACGAACAAATCTTTACCCTTATCCAGGTAGGATGCAGAGTCGAGATATAGTGCGAAAAAAACAGGGATACTTTTGTTAATACGTAAATACGTTTATAACATATTTGGGGGTTCTCAAAGCTTCTCAACGCTCGGCACACTGATACACTGGTAAAAGAACTACAGACATGGACAATTCAGCGAACACATTTTTAGATTTAGTAATAAAATCTATTTGATGTATACCTTATTTGCTATGACTTTTTTACTGTTAAAGGTGTTTAATTGAGTTCTTAAACAAATCACACACTATCTGAAATTTTGTAAAATTCAAAGTTAATCTCCGCTTTCCTCATTCAATTACCAGAGGCCATTAAAAGTTCGTGAAAACACATTGATTAAGTGGGTGCAAGTCATTCAAGTTGATTTCAAACTGAATCTAATTATTTTTAATTACGTTTGACTGACAAGCCAACCTGACTTGTTCGTTGTAAATTAAATTTATTGAAATTTGGCAAGCATATACTTAAGTATTACGTTTTGTCTGTATCTATGAAAGCACAGTGGCATGGGTAAAATACAGTCACATTTTTATACGCAAGGCATCTGCCAAAAAAAGGTTTTTGGTACTAAGACTTCTTCGCGATGTTTTTCCTCGTCGTACAAGTATTTTGTTTAGTAGAAAGTTCGGAATCGAGCGCTTATTCTTAAATATAGCTTTTAGAATGGTTAAAATACAACAATAAAGCCTTTGTCAAATCGTGTAAATAAGCCACCAGCTAATTTATGAAAATTTATTTTGCTCTAAATTATCTTGCGAATCTCGAAACACAAAATAATCTTTTATAAATTAAACTAGCTATCTCGACACATAGTAATTACTTTTGACGAAGAATAATAACTGTGCTTATGTGTCTAGAAACGTTGGCTAACGCCGTCTCTTGGAAGTTTGCGTAGTTTCATTTAATTTTGTTTAATTAATAGACATGCTTCTATGACGAGGAGTGAAATTAAGAGAGGTGCCCAGGACCGTTTAGTCTGGTTTTCTAAGCTGGATGCCCTCTGCCCTAATGAGGAACATAGGTTAACGTCAACGAGTCAACTCTGGTAAACTTACTTTTAGCTGTTGCAACTGTTCCTTAAAGTCTGACTCGGCGAAAGTGATGGAGGCTGCGCAGGTGATATTGGCGGCTTCTAACTGTGTGACCAGCTCATTTACGGCCAGGGAGTAAATCTCTTCATTCTGGGAGAATGCAGTTACTGTGTCCCAGCCGAATTGCCTATAAAAGTAAATAAAGGTGTTGAATTTTTCATTAAAAAAAAGTGGCGCTACAACTCCTGATAGATACAGAAATCTTGGCCTTGGACGTCTGTATCTGTCACTACCCTCAAACTCTAAAGGTTTTAATAGCTTTAATATAATAAAAAAAAATTTGTTTGGTAATTTAGCAAGTTAATCTCAATAAGAAAATATTGTTCGCAAATTTATGTATCAATTACCGTATAAAAGCGATTCGAGCTGGGTTGTGCGATGAATCTGGAGCGACTGTCCGACAAAATAGAGGGAACTCTGAACGATCGCTAAGAGCTGGTGATGTTGAACCGAATGATACCTGAGGAATTAATTAAGTGTTAACTATATAGACCTGCATTGAAAGCATAACAAATAGGTTTAACGATACAATATTGTTAATTGTTTCTTAAACATATATTTATAGATTGACATATGTGTAGGGAACAAGAGTGAACGGTTATAAAAAGAACGAAGGGATATAGAGTTATTGAAGCCAAGAAAATGGGAAATAATAAAATATCCTTTAAATGTTTGTGTTTTGGAATCTAAAAGTATGGAATACAGGACGGTCAGATATTTACGACGCCGCTGGACAGTTTCTCACGGTTCAGTGATCGACAAACTTTATGGATTCTGATATGAAGTGTGTGCACAAATTCTGAAGACGTTCAAGTAAGTATATATTTAAGATCACAATAACATACATCAGCATAGTTTAAGATAGAAGTAAGAGATGCAGACTGCGTCAGCATAATTTTAGTAGAGATTTAAATAAAATTGCTTAACCATCTTAAAGAAGTAACGCCCATTCTTCTAACTAACCCCCTTATTTGTACAGTCCAGGAACTGATCAAGACATATGTTCAGATTCTTGACGGAGGACGCGTAAGGTATAAGATTTGCTTTCAAGCCTTGTACTATTATAGCTATATTAGAATATGGATGTATATTCCTAGAATTTGACACCTTTTTAATACCAGTTCTATGTACCTAACGCTGCAGTTTATTTTAATGAATAAAGTTTTGGTTTGCATCCAAACCTAAAACAAAAAACATTCTAGGACAGGATTTGGTTGAAACGTTACCTAAAAGTGTGAAAACTAATTTCAACACGTTTTTTATTTTTAAATTTGTATGTTTTAAAAAAACTGTTTACGTGTGTAGCGAGACTAATGTCATGTACATAATACATACATATATACATAAATAATACATATTTACAAGAATCAGTTTTAGCCGATTGATTTCAGCGTGCAACACATATCCCTAAAGGTCGTAGTTTGATTCCCGACTGTGCGCCGCTAGACTTTCTATCCATGTGGGCATCTAAGATGTAATCTGAGATCAAGACCTAAATTGGGGTGTAGCGCCCTAAACTGTTTTAAAATGTAAATTATTATTTTTGTACCTCACTATAGTAGTAACTCGTCGGAATAGGTAAATAATGTAATAAATTCAATTCGTATTTATATATATTAAAGAGGTTTTTTATAAAGCTCAAAGAGTTTTAGAAGACAATATTACAAATCGTCACTGTAGAATGATAACCTCGTATGTCAAAAAAAGCATTTTTTTTTAATTCTTAGACTCTTATGTCATTTAACTGGTATAATCTAATGAAGTAAGGGATTGGTTAATAACATAATTTATAAGTCCTTTTTACCATCCAAAACTATGGACTAAAACATTTTTTTCGTTTCCTGTAAAGTTTGGTTCTCTGGACATACGAAGTTATTAGTTCCACAGCGACGAAATACAGTATAAATACAAAAAAAATACTTGTACCAAACCAATCTTGACGCAAAAGATTTTGCCGTAGCTTACGAATAAACACAACCAAAAAGCTGAAAAGGCTCGTAAATCCCTGGCAGTTGGCATCGAGGAGGCTTTGATTGACATCAAACACGACTAATGTTCGTTAGAGGGAATTCAGTAACGCTGACCGGATCACATTCACGTCAAATTGGATTACAATACGAACTCAATCAAGCGTATTGCTTCGATACATGTTAATATTCAATAAATTGACGACGAAAGTTGAGCCTTTATTACGAATATAGTTTTATAACATACAACGCCCTAAGTCTTGACTTGTAAAGCTATTGCCGAATATGTTTATCATTTTTTTTTTGTATTAAGTCATAATCCATGGCGCTAAATCACCTGCTGCATGAGCATACCTCACATACAGACCACGTACGTACCTTTCACACCATCACACAGTACAGCCAAATCAGGTATTACTTAGTTAAATGTATGTAAATAAATAATATATTTCTTACATTAGATTTTGTTTTAATTAGATTATTGATTATCTATTATGTGGTAACTGATGTTTCATTTAATTTGTTTGTTAGTCTGTGGAAAAGACGCTTGTTTTGGCCTGTCATTAGAATTTTAATTCGAAGAATTTTTTTGTTTGAACACTTTGCACTATAAAAGAAATAGGATAAAAGGGATTGTTTTCAAGTAAAATAACAAACTCTAAATGTTGTTTCTTAAAATACATATTTGAGTTTCATTCATTATAAAACAATTACATAATTTTTATAGATTTTTTCTTTTTTAAACATTTGAACCTTTTTGTATATAATATAATGAATTCTTATCTTTAGGATAATTGTTTTTTGTTGTATATGATTTAAGTTAGCTGTAGGAATACGATATAAATAAATAATAGTCGTTTCAAACTTTATAATGTATTATTGTTAAATAGGGTTTACGCTGTGTTGGGCTACAGCAATTACTCTTATATATGAATTAAATTTATGTTTATCTATTGCAAATACACCTACTTATTGATAGTTTTAGTCTAGACAAGTAAATAATTGAAAATAAGAAACATGTGAATTTCCGTATTATCAAAGTTATTACGTTTGATTGGAAGAAATAATTATTATAATTTAATAACATATTTTGTAGTCTTATGCCAAAGAAAATAATGTCGATATCATTATGTTTTATGTATTGTTTAATAATGTTACAGTTATTGCCTTTATTGTAAAACGCAGAGTATAAGGTAGACAAAAAAACACAACTTGAATGATACAGTGATCAAAGTACTTGAAAGATATATATCTTTAACGTTCGATAAACAATAATGAGGTCGTGGGGAAAACCAATCTCTAATTAAAACAAGCAAACCATTAACGTCATTGTTACGTTATTTTTGGATCAAAGAAATTGAGAAAATAATTTTTCATTAAGCTTTGAATAATGGCTGTTCAAATCTTCAGCGAATCTATCCAATCAATAATGTAATTAAAAACTCAAAATTACCTTGTATCAAATAGGGAAAATAGCCTGATAAAATAACCGTTTACTAAGGTATTTCTTTCATTTTAAATTTTCTTTATATCTAGGGATAATCGAATAAACGCAGACATACGCAACAAAAAATCAGGTATTTGGTCCAGGTAAGTCTTCTGTCCTGTACACCACTGCAGATATTCCGCAAAATACCGTAAAAAAACTCACAGAAAACAAAACACGTAGAAAAACTATTGGTGCATAGCCAGGTCTCGAACCTATGACCTCATTGTTTATGGTGTCTAATTGTCATTTACATACAACAAGTTAGAGGTAAGGAGGGACCTTACTATCACATTATACTTTTTTAAGGTCCTTAGAGGTAAAATAATGCGGAAATGTTGGAGAGACTGGGGCTGCGTGTGCCAAATAACCACACTCGGCGTGGTAAGCGGTCGCAATTGCTGGCAGTGCCTCGGGCGCAAATTTACTCAGAGAAGCACCATTTACGTGTGTCTTGCGCACCTTAAACACTATTGCTTGTGAGACATATATTTAGTTGCACACTGGCTGAATTCACAAGAATTGCATTATTTATAATTAGTTATAAAAAGGTTTGGATTTTAAGATTTTACTTGTTATGTTTATATGTGTTAGTATAGTTTTCTATTGTATTAGTTTTCATTTACTGTAAAAATAGGAAAAAAAGGAAAATAAATAAATAAAAACCACTAAAGCTATCTTTAATAACAATTACGAAGAACAACCTACTAGATTACTTCCAGGAACTTTAGTTTTGGCAATTTCTTCTTCGTTTTCTTTGATGTACAGTCAAATAAGCTCTGATTTGAAACATCCGAGGGTCGTAATTGTGCACTGTGTAACTTATAACTATTTCTTAAGTTTTAATGACAAGAATTTTCTTGTGAACAAAGGGTCTTTCAGTAATAGCCTTTCTTTTACATAGCCTTTTTCTTATTGTACTAGTGGAATGCTACGGTTTTATCGTATAACAAAATTATATACTTTTAAGTGAATAAACTAAATTATTTTTCGTACTAGGTTTGCGTAATAGCTATATTAGAACACGCGTTAGAAGTTATACTTTTATGAAGTGACAAGATAAAAATCTTTTAAAATTTTTATTCGTTTTTACGTTTTTAGAAAAAAACAACACTAAAAATAGAAAAAACTAAAATGTTGACAATAGCCAACATCGGGTATTTGTGACGGTGTGCACGCACATCGTAAAAATTTTGTCTCATCATTTTTTTCTAACGCGCCAAAATAAGTATAACTTAATTAAACTATTAGTTAAACAAAACATTTTCTTGTACTATAACAAATAATAAAAGGCCTAGTTCTACTGCTATCTAAAAGCAGGGCATCACACTATTTGAGCTATTCTTAATTAAACATTATTATTTATAAAAAATAATTTCAGTATTTCAAACCACTCAATGCACCTCTTACACTGGCAGTAAGCAGTTTTCACCAAACAATATACGTATATTGAATAAAATTCGTGAAAATAAAGTCAATGTAACTTATGTGAAAGTTTCCTCTTAATGAACGCTTCAAGAAAACTTTCGCGACCTCATTTGAATCGATTAATATTTATTTTAACATGTTAGCTTTTAAAACTTCTTACCTAAGATCAAAGTTTCACAAAGTTATGTTCTTTATTAACTTTCCTAAAATTGCCTTTGTTTAATTAGAATTTAGAAGTTTCTAAAGTTACAATTAATTGTGTTTAATCGGTAGGATCGCGGGATTTAATTTTCTCATTTTCGAAAATGTTATCACATACAAGTAATTTTAGTTTTTTTATAGACCACGGGCTGATCTGATGTTAAGTGAACACACACATGAACACTCACAATGCCAGAAGGCTCAAAAGCGCGCTGCCGGCCTTTTGACAAATTTGTACGCTCCTTTCTTAACAGATCTAAGGTCGAATTTGTTTGGATCCACATAGTGGCGTTGCGTTTCAGAGTTCCTTAAGAAACGAGTTAAAAAGTATATATATCTATATACTTATAAATTGATACATATATACTTATAAATATTAGTAAGTAATTATTTTTTGGGAAAAGGGATACTCTTCTTTAATAAAATCCCAGAGGCTCTTTTATCTCTGCCTTTTATAAATTTAAGAAATGTATTAAACAGAAGCTGTGCAAAAAGGCTTCCTATAAAGTTAACGATTATCTAGGTGATAAAAGGGCCTAGTGGCTGACTACTTCTAATTAATTAGCGATATTTGTTTTAAAATAAGTATTGTTTGATGATTTGCTATTTGAAAAGAGTACCTACCGAGTTTTTTACGCCGGCTTTTTCTCTCGACCCTCTGTCGATTTTGCCTTGATGTAGGAATGTCTACCCATTCAAATTTAATGACGTGGAATAAGTGATACCTGTATCTTATATTGCATATAAAACATATTTTTTATATCTATATGTGACAGTGATTGGCACTAGTATGTCAAACTCAAATATGTTTTGACATCCAGGGTGAAAAAGCGCGTCTCGCCAATCATTGATTTAAATTTAAATACTCGGTGATGTGGGTACTTCTCAATATTACGGAACATTGAGTTTGCGCAATGTCGCAAACTTCGAATTACGTGGTACGTGATTTTAATATTCAGATCAGAATACTGGTGCATCCTTGTGGGCTTTATTTCATTATCTATTTCATATATTCTTCGAAATCTTCAAAGTATTACTGAAAAGAGTAACTTACTTGTACAATATTCCAATAGGGTACAATCTTGGCTATGCTCTCTGTAACTTCTGAGCATGCGGTTCCCAGCAGCATTGCCATTTTGGACTCTCGCTCAGTGTAGAGGGCGTGGAAGAATCTGTCCACTCCTACACCTGGATCGCACTGGGTATAGATAAATAGTTGTAAAACAATTTATTGTAATAATTTATTAATACATTAAATAAAATCCAACCTTAGTATCATTTGTGATAAGTTGCAACTTGTATCCAGGGAGCAACGTCTTCTGATTGACATGTGTCACTGCCAAACGCGCAGCTGTCAACTCTGACATTCCATCAGCCCTCGGAGAATCCCCTACTGATAGCTCGAATAGACCCAGTATAGATACTATTCGAGTATCCACTTTGGAATCTGAAATAAATATGTTTATATATTTAATTGAAACATTGAATGTTATGTATTGTTATTCGATAATACGATTGCATACGCACTCGGAATTAAAAAAAACAACCTTTTTAAGTCGGGACCTCAGATTTCTGTATCTGTTTCATGATCATTTTGTCAATCTAATGGGCGAGTAGGTGATCAGCCTTCTGTGCCTGACATACGCCGTCGAATTTTCTTGGGTCTAAGGCAAGTTAGTTTCCTCATGATGTTTTCCTTCACCGTTCGAGCGAATGCTAAATGCGCACATGGACAGAAAGTCCATAGGCGCACAGCCGGGGTTCGAACCTATAGCGGGATCAATTTCGCGTTTGGTTCTGTTAAGTTTAATTTAAATGATACATTTGTTTCGGGATATTATCTCTCCAGTAAATAAACGATAGTTTTGCTAAATATTGTTATCTACGTTTGTTTGACAGCTTGAACGTATAAATTTTCCAATACAATACAAATAACAATCTGTATACTACACGAATGTTTCGAATACAAAGTTCTGCTCAACTTATCCATACAGTACTCGTGGTGATAATACCTAAGCTCTAATATATTATATTAAAGTTCAAAATTTAACAGAATCGCAAAATCAAATTTCGCTTAACGATAAGACAAGTTCATGGCGATATTTGAAAATTCGTTTTTTATTAGTTTCCTGAATCGTAAATTTCCTTCGCAGTAAAAGATTTCATTTCAGATATTATAGGTCCTCTCAAAATGTTAATTTATTAAATGGAAAACCATTGTTTGGGTTTTATTTCTTCACTCGGGATCTGTCTGAATAAGACTAATTCAATTTAAATAAATTTTTATTCACTTCAAAGAGGATTTGGAGGTATTCGATTATTTAGTTAATTATGTCTATTTAATTACGTTTTTAAGGTACAAATCCCTACATAGGACAATAGTAAACCTTTATATTATATCTTATACTAAAAAAGTATATACAATTCTCGTGTCACAATGTTAGTTACCATACTCCTCCGAAACGGCTTGACCGATTATTATCAAATTTTATATGTATATTCAGTAGGTCTGAGAATCGGCTACTATCTATCTTTCATACCACTAAGTGATAAGGGGTATCCACCCCAAAATTAATTTTTTACTTTTTATACAATTTTTTTTGTTTTTTATATTTTTATGATACAGCATACAAAAATACATACAACCCGTAATCTTCACCCCTCTACGATCAACCCCTATTTTTTTTGAACTAAAATTTTTTTCCTAGAAATAATATACATGGGAAAACGACGTTTGCCGGGTCAGCTAGTTGTATATAAAATAAGGTTTTTTTCTCGGACGATCAAAAAGTGTTCTAGGAAGTCTAAATAATACTCGAACGATGGACGCAGGCAGCAGGGTTTTGATAAATGCTAACTGTCGCCCATGGACACGTTCTACGCCGAGGGTCTAGCAGGTATGTTGCCGACCTTTGAGGGAATGAATCTTTTCTTGAAGGATTCTAAGTCGTATCAGTTCAGATATACCCCTGCTGACAGCTGGTGTCTTAAAAAGCGCTGTCTTATGGAAAGTAAGGTGGAACACTAAATCATAAAAACCATTTATTAGAGTTGAATATTTGGTGTTACATTAAACGGGTGTCAACGTTTTAGCACGACATGATCGTTATACGTATTGATCGATTACTAAAAGCATCTGTTTTTTTATTTTACGACCATCATTTTGAATTATCCATTTTGTTCTAAAAGCGGTTTAGAATGAGAGACAAACCTTACGTTTCTATATTGATGGACAAACAGACATAATATGACGTATTAAGTCGCATGTCAACGCGTGGACTAAAGACACTTCTGGCAAATCACAATCGTATAGAACGCGCCGTCTTTTGTTTTGCATTCTCACTCCTCCACTCGAAGTAGCCTTCTTTCTGACGCTACGTAAAAAGTATTACTAAATATTTTCTTTCGTAGACCATCTCAACGTTTGTTACGAACTTTTGTTTTTGTTTTTTCTAGATAAATTTTAAACAGTTCTTAGACATTTGTGAAACCTTTGTTTTGCATTCTCACTTCCCCTCCCCCCGAAGACGAAGCCTCCTTTCTGACGCTACGTAAAACGTTAACTGACTCTACATATTTTCAATTATTTATTTACAATTCGTTAACTTATACAAACACACACATATATATATATGTTTTAAAAAGCAAGTAGCATAAATAGGACAACGGACGGCCTTATCGCTAATAAGCGATTTCTTCCAAGCAACCCTAGTATGGAACAATAAAAAAGTAACACCTACAGAAGGTAGAACGAGTACAAGAAGTGCATAAATAATTAACAAAAAATTGTTTTTGATAAATGTTTCCTTTAGTCCATCTATTTTAGATAAATTTTAAACTGTTCTTACACATTAGTGAAACCATAATATGCTTTATAGTTTAGTTTAGTTAACTGTAATGCACTTAAAGCTGGACCGGAGCGTAGAGTAAAGCGCGTTAACTGCCATTTGCGCAATTAGACCCTAACCTCAAACTGCACATGCGAGACTTGGCACAACCATAGGGTATGTGTTGATAAATATATTGAACGAGCCCGTTTTATATAATTATTAGGTATGAAGTCACGTGACCAATAATGGAGTATAGAACAGATATTAATAATAAAACCTTTATTCATGAAATATGGTTGTGACATAATTCATCTATCGTTAGTACCCAGTGTTGTACTAGTGTTGTGGGTAACTAGATAACATTTTTTTAAGAAAAAGTAGTCTTAGTGTTACAACTAATCAAACACGTCGTAAAAGACATTATGTATGCGTGAATGTATGGGTATATGAATGGGTGTGTGCGTATAAATTGAGAGCGTAGCTGAGAGTTGTTATACGCGTGTACTGTCTGTGTTAGTTTTTGGTACCTAAGTTATGTCAAAATACGAATGCCTGTATGCGCCTATTGTATTGTTAATTTTGTAGAGATAAATAGCTATCACTAATCACTGTCAATTATTCGAGTATACAAGCCTGACTCACGATGTTTTTATTCAAGTTAAGAGTCATTCAATAAAGATATATTGAAACATTTAATGGTACACAGCCAGGATTCGTACACAACCCAGTGTTTCCCCCATACTTAAACATTTATATAATACCTAATCATTTAAGATAATGATAACTGTATTTGAATTTAATAAATTATTAAGAAACATCATTATCACAATTAATTTCCTGGCATACGGCATACCATATTTATTTACTTTTGCATGTAGCGTAGTTATTGGAGATGACGTCAGCGACTCAGGATGTTTACTAAGTGACCTCTAAAGACGTTAACTAAAGGCTGCTGGGCAAAGATTTACTTTGAACGACTAATTGAAGCCTGAAAGATTTATATTACACGCCATTAAAAGTAATTAAATTTATCTGGACCGCCTTAGTGGATATCGCCCCTGAAATATCCAAGATCCGACTTTCTATTCCCCTTAAACTAATTTTGGGTACAGAAGTCTGATGTTCTATTTTCTAAAAAAATAAGAAATGTTTGATTGAGAAATCAACTGTCACACAAATATTTTTAAACATTAATAGTCTGTATAAACAGCATACTAAAAAAAAATTTAAATCAGTGGAGCTACAACCTTTTTAGTTCTGGGCCTCAGATTTCTGAATCTGTTTCACGATCATTTTTGTTAATCTAATAGGCAAGTAGGTGATCAGCCACCTGCCTGACACACGCCGTCGACTTTTTGGGTCTAAGACATGTCGTTTTCCTCACGATGTTTTCCTTCACCATTCGAGCAAATGTTAAACGCGCACATAGATAGAAAGTCTATTGGTGGACAGCCGGGGATCGAACCTACCACCTCACGGATCAGAGTCGCACAAAGCCACTAGGCCAACACTGCTCTGAACAGCATACGAAAGAGAGGTTAAAAAGTGCATTGTAAATCATAAAGGAAGGATGAATTTCCGCCCACTAGACATTTTTGCTGCCACTTGACACTCGTTGGTCGCGACCGGACATGTATATTCATATAAAAGAGAGAGTGCATCTGAGTGTTAACGTATTTTAAGGAAAACCTCATAGGGCCCTCAAAAGCTGTCAACGCATCCACTAAAACTGAGTATTAATGGCCTTTTGAGGCTAGCCCGTAGTTTTTCGTTTGTTATATTATAAATAAGCGAATAGTTATAATACAGCTAAATAGGAATGTTTGTAAGATTATATGAAGAAAAAAAATCAGAGGCGCTACAACCTCTTTTAGGTCTTGGCCTCAGAATTCTGAATCTGTTTCATGATCATTTTTAAATCTAATAGGCAAGTAGGTGATCAGCCTATTAGACACACGCCGTAGACTTTATGGGTCTAAGACATGTCGGTTTCCTCACGATGTTTTCCTTCACCGTTCGAGCAAATGTTAAATGCGCACATAGAAAGAAAGTCCATTGGTGCACAGCCGAGGATCGAACCTGATGAGAGTCGCACGCTGAAGCCACTAGGCCAACACTGCTCTATGATCTGCTCTCAAGATTATATGAAGCTTTTGGGTCATGTGTATTTTTCATCCGAACGAAAATTTTAATGATTACAATTATTAAAATTTACACATTATCGGACGTCAAGGCAAAATACAAAATGCCATCCGTATCACCTCGACGTCCGTCGTTCCACAACTGAGCGTTTTCTAAGACAGTTTTTTTGCCGCGCACCACCACTATGTGGAACCAGCAGCCCACTCAAGTATTTCCGAACCAATTCGACTTAGGTTCCTTCAAGAAAAGAGCGTACCAATTCTTGAAAGGCCGGCAACGCACTTGCGAGCCTTCTGGTAGTGTGTGTCCATGGGCGGCGGTATCACTTAACATCAGGTGAGCCTCCTGCCCGTTTGCCTCCTATTACATAAAAAAAACAATAGCGCGTTCGTTGGTTTAATAGTTTTTGGGCGAAATTATTTCGACAGCAATCAGAGATACGCGACGCGATCTGTCATTCCGTATGACCAATCAC